TACGCTTTTGGAGAGAACTTCTAATGCAGTATATTTCAAAGTAAAGGTCATGACTCAGGAGAGGCTGTGAATCTTTAGTGACATCAACACTAGCCTTAAAAATAATCTGTTATCGGGGCACCTGGGTGGCTCAGTCGGGTAAGTGTCCGACTTCGGCTCAGGTCATGATCTCGCGGTTTGTGGGTTCGAGCCCCACATCGGGTTCTGTGCTGGCAGCTCAGAACCTGGAGCCTGCTTCAGATTCTGTCTCCCTCTCTCTCTCTGCCCCCTCCCCAGCTCATGTTCTCTCTCTGTCTCAAAAATAAACTATAAAAAAAAAAAAATTAAAAAAAAAATCTGTTATCACAGTAAGGAAAGCATTTTTGGGGGGTGAAATTTAATTATGTATGTGTACATATACATATGAGTTCTATATATACACACACATTGGTGTATGTCTACATGTGCTGGCTTGCAATATAAAATGTATTTCTTAGTGTTAAAGTTGAAAAGGTTGGTAAAACAGGTCTTAAGGATTTTCAGTTTCGTTTGCCTCTGTGATTGAGATCCTTCATCAGGTCTCCTAGATAATCTTAAACAAAAAACAAACAACAATCAAAAAACCAAACAGGAGTCATTTGTTTTCCTCTTGGGCATCTTCTTGGCACCCACTACATAAAGACTCCTGGGTAAAAGTTACCACTCTCAAATGTACAACCTCTTTAGGAGAAATAACTGAACATTTCACAAGTTAGAATAATTGAAATGTTAAAAGGTGAAAGTATGTTCAGAAGGTAGGGTGATTCACTCTGGCCATTCTGTTATCAGAAGGCTTTAGGCAGCCATCGGGCCTGAAAGGCCAGCAACTGGACACTGGTAAAGAAGGGTTTAGAAATATGTCATTTTGAGGACCAAGAAGTAAAAGGTTGGCTAGATCATATGGTTTGAAAGGTAGTTTTTAGAATATGTGTTTTAACAGCAGTAAATTCTATTTTGCCTTAATAGCTTAATGCACTGGGATCCATAAAGTACCTGTTATTTTACTTAAGAACTTTTTAGTGCAGTGTGATCATCGTGTTAAAGTTATATCGTAGGAGCAGCAAGTTGTTCTGTAAGTTCACTCCAGAGATGGTCAACTGGCAATCCAATCAGAAAGACACTAGAAATCTCAAGTGACTATTTAGAAGCCCTACTGTTACCTGTAGCTCAATAAATATAGGAGGCTTTGCAGATTAGCTTAATGTCAAATGTATTTCCGTTGGTGCCATGAGTGGCTAGCTAATAATCTTAATGAAATAGACAGGTTATTTGTGACTTCAGTATTCAAGATATGTGGCGTGGCTAAAAACAATTACTGTCAAATCAACAAGAATGTAATAAACTCCGTAACTTGTACTTCTGTAGACCGTACCCAAGGCCTGACTGTGAAATGCACCTTCGTCCAGTCGTTAGTGCAGAATTCTGGTTGCCTTTTGTTGACCACAAGTGATAGATTTTGCCCCCAGCTCTTGAGGCAGATGCCACCGTGTGCTTACTGGTTGCTACTGTTTAATGTTTGTGAGACAGATCAAGTATGAGCTTTGCTTTCATGTTAAGCAGATACTGGATGCCATTATCTGCTAGAAAGAGTCTTGGTGGTAAATGACCAAATTGGCTGTTGGTTTGAAAAATAAGATATTTTAACTTGCTCCCAAATAATATCAATCATCAACACCTATTTAGCAAAGCAAGTTTATTTGATTACTTATTCCAGACAAGTGAGGCTTGTGTGTACAACTAATAAGACAATCCAAATAAAAGGCAGGAAATATTAATAGGAACTACACAAACAGCTATCTAGAAAGGAACGGCAGCTGCATTCATTTTACATAATACTGTGGAATGATGTAGCACCATTTACCTCAAAGATATCTTAAGTTCTTTATAAGGTAATTATGTGACTCTTTGTTAAAATGCAGCAATGCTTAAAAATTGTAGCAGACCCAAATCTTATGTTCAACTAACTCCGATATAAAATTGTATCAGACAGAAATGCTGAGGCATAGGAGCACATGTACCCCAATGTTCATAGCAGCACTCTCCACAATAGCTAAAACATGGAAAGAGCCTAAGTGTCCATCAACAGACGAATGGATCAAGAAGATGTGGTTTATCTATACCATGGAAT